GGGTTCTGTGGTTATTATTCTTTCTGCTTGGGGTGGCAGGCACGTTCCGGAAGTCTGACATGCACTGACCTCACTAAAATACTCATGAGGTAAGTATCATCATCATTCCCATTTTCCAGATGGGGTCGCTGAGGCACAGGGGGTTTGAAGCACTTCATTTCTAGCAACATGATCTTGGTCATTTAACTTCCCCTGTGCCTTTGTTTCCTCCCCTTCATTAGAACTACTATTTGTTGCTTCCCTGGGTGTTTGAGAGGATGAAGGGTACAAGGCATAGAGTAGCGGGGTGTGCAAGTGCTGAGGACATGATGGTTATCTTACATGTATTTGCCTAGAAACCTCCCAAGATTGGTTTGCATAGGAAAGACAACCTGGATTTGCATTTCTGGGTCTTGATTCTCTGGAGAAAGAAGAGCAGAGACCTATTTACCTTTGGTGTGCACATGAAGAATTTCAGGAAGGTGAAGGGATATCTTAGGCCCATCAAGGGATGAATAGCTAAAGAAAATGTGGCAAACAGCGGAATATTATTCAGCCTTGAAAAAGGAAGGAAATCGTGCCAAGTGCAAGAGTGTGGATGGACCTAGAAGACAGTATGCAAGATGAGATAAGCTAGTCACAGACAAATACCACATGGAACCCACTTACATGAGACAGCTAAAATATTCACACTCAGAGAATCTGTAAAACCGTGGTTGTTGGGGGTGGGGAAGGGGGAAGTAGGGAATTGCTAATCAAGTGGCATCAAGTCTCAATGATACAAGATGAACACGTTGTAGAGATGTTCTGTACGATGTCACACGTGTAGGTGGTAGTATGGAATCATGCACCCAAAAATTTGTTGAGAGGGTAGGTCTCATGTTAAATGTCCTTACACAATAAAATAAAATTTAAAAAAGAATAGGGGCACCTGGGCAGCTCAGTGGGTTAAGCATCAGCCTTTGGCTTAGGTCATGATCTCAGAGTCCTAGGCTCAAGCCCCAAGTCGGACTCCCTGCTCGGTGGAGAGTCGGCTTCTCCCTCTCCCTCTGTTCCTCTCCCCTACTCGTGCATGCCTTCTTAAATAAGTTTAAAAGAGAACGAACAGAGTGGGGGCATTGTGAAGGAGAATGCATCAACTCTCTAGGAACCAGAATTGCCTCAGTGAGCCAGGAGGTTCTGGGCCTCTCAAGGATGTCTGGTCCTTGCTGACTGTGCCCCTCACTGACTTTTCTGGAAGCTGTCTAATATCTGTGAACTCTTCATTCCTGAAGACAAATTTTTCCTTTCCCTCTTACACTCAAATCATCTGATTTCCCGTGGTGGCTGTGGAGTGTCTGGGGCCAGGTGGAAGGCCACAGGCCCACACCGAGCTAATCATCCCCATTGTGGAGGCCTCTCTGAGTAGACGACGTGTATTCAAAAGTTATATTAGAATCGATGGTGGCGCCTGGTCCTGATACCACGAATTAACCAGAGGAATCGGCCACTCTCTGATGGTCACATTAGCTTCATTGATTGTAGTGTTTCCTGTGTCTGGTTTTGCTTGGACAAGTTCTGCCAGAAAGTGGCAGAGTACGTGAGCTTTTGAAATCGGTGGATTGTGGAGATTTTCTGCACAGGGCCAGATTTGCAGTCCTCCGTTAACAAGGAAAGAGAGCAACCCAAGAATAATACTTGGGCTGTGTCTCATGAGAGAGGATGAAGATGACTGCGGGGACAGACTCTTAGTCTCTGCCTTTGTGGTAACTCCTAGCTTTGGGATGGAATTTAAATTCATGTTTTTGGACATCGGTACTCATCCAGCTGATTCTTGGTCTTCTGACGAAGCCAAGAAACAAAGCAAAACCAAAAAACACCACCCAAAAATTGGCTCCTGTGTCTGAGGAGAGCTAGGAGGAAGAAAGCCAGTCAGGTGGGCTCCTGTTCCAGTCAGAGTGAGTTAAACGGTGCTGCAGTAACAGAGATCCCCATGTGTCAGTGACAGGAAGTGTAAGAGGTTTATTTCTGCCCCTCAAGAATTGATCTCCGCTCTACGCTAGCCTCGCTCAGGGAGATAGGACCTTGAGCATCGGGAGTGTGGTTGGAGGCTGTGGAGGAAAGGGGAATATGGCAAATTGTGCCTTGGTTTTGATCACTGCTCTTGGCCACAGCAAGTCGCTTGGCTGTGCCTAATTTGTGGGGCATAGGAAATACAGCCCTATCCTGTTTCTAGCAAAAAAAGAACAGAAATACTTGTCAAGAGTTTTACGGAAAACCGGCTCCCCCGTATCCATTTCCATCTCAACCTAGGCTCCTATGAGCAAAGAGGGTGATACCCCTCGGACTCTCCCACCTCCAGTAGAGAAGGGGGAACTAAATGCTCTTCGGTTTACCTTTTAGCCAAATAACAGGCTGTATACTATAGCAAGTTTAAGAATCAGACAAGTACAAGTTCACTACCTCCCCCAGATGACTTTGGGCAAGTTACCAAACATCCTCGAGCTTTCCCCGCCTCTTTTGTGGCTGGGACAGTAGTAGTCCCTGCGCTGCAAGTCATTTCTGAAGCTTCCGTGGGATAGCACGTGCCAGGGCTTAGTTTGGCCCCTGGTACCTGGTGTGTGCTCGAGAATGTTAGAGCGACAAGCCTCGGCTTCTCTTTCTGTTAAAGGGCAGGGAGAATACCTCCTTATGGGGAGATGGTCTGTACCCAGCAAATGATACCTTGGAGTCACTTCGTATATGGTGCCTGGCTGGGGGCCAGTGCTCAGAAAAGGCATCTGAGAAGCTGCCTCGAAGGGCCTCTGGACAGAAAGAAGGGGAAAGGTGAACATCAGGGGGGTTCAGTTGGGTGACAGGAGCAGGAACCGTGCTTCACGGGGGTGATTTCTCACAAGGTGCGTGGGCAGGTAGGAAAGCCTGGAACCAGATGTCAGAACTGGCAGTTTCCCCTTCATAGACCAGGATATAATGTCAGCCCTGTATGTCACCAGGCACCGTGCTATGACCCAATACAGACTCAGCTCTCCCTTCTTAGTATCTCTTTTCTCATCTCTACCCCATTACCTCCTACCTCCTGCTGCCTTGAGCTCTCAGTGCCCTATGGCCCTACTTACTGTCCCTGTTTCTGTGTGACTTCTTGCCACCTGATGGGCCGCTGGCCAGACTTGAGATGGCTCTTTGGAGGTGACATGGCTCTTCTAGATCCTTGTAGCTGGGCGGGAGTTGTTGGGAATGGAGCCAGATCTTGTGGTACAAAGCCAGGCGGCGGTGCTCACGGGGACAGAGTGTTGGGGGGGTCAGGGGGGCTTCTGTAGCTGCTTGGAAGTGGCGAGTAGAACTAGCCACCCAGGCCGTGGGTGCACGGCCACATCCCAGCTTCACCACCAGCTAGCCGGGCAAGTTGCAAATAGTCCCTTCCCTCATGTGCAAAACGAGAATGAGAGCCATGTCCAATGTACAGAGTGCCCGCCCATGAGGATTTAAGAGTCCGTTTTCAGTTCTTAAGGCCTGCACTCTGTAGGGGAACTGGGTGCGTGATGCTTGGGAGATGGAGCAAGGGCAGGAAGGGGGCGGCCAGGTACAGCTTCTTTTCCAGACTGTTACCGGGCCAGATGGGGGCCCTGGGGGCAGGGACACCTGAACCAAACCCAGGGGATGGGAACTTGCTAAATTCCTAATGCTGGAGAGCTGGTGTCTGCATACTTCTTCTGAAAGGGGTAGATAGAAATATTTAGGCAGGCCAGATGGGTAATATTGCCATGCTTGTTCCTGCTATCATAGTAGGAAAGCAGCCCGACAGTACGTAACCGAACAGGTATGGCTGCTTTTCAATAAAACTTTATTGACAAAAGCAGATGATGCACAGGATTTGGCCCCCGGGGGCCACAGTTGGCCGAGCTGCTAGAATACGGGCCCTGGGGCATGCCAGCTGCCCTGTCAGCCACTGCCGGGCTCCAGTCCTGTCTCCGTGGTTCTGTCCCATCGTCCTCTTCCCTGGGAACTGTTAACAGACACATTTAAGAGAACCAGAGGGGAGGTCTTCCCTCAAATTGCTACTCATGGCCATTGTGTTTCTATAGCAACGGGGTAGATTTGTGGAGCCAATTAGCATTCTCTGTGACTTTAGCGGTCCCCTCTGGGGCTAGCTTTGGAGCAGTGGATACTCTTTCAGGTTAAGGTATTGGTAATGGGCTCAAAGCAGCAGCAACATACTTTGGAAGTGATACTGGGTATTAGTCGAATGGTACATTTGCTCTCAGCTCAAAACTGCCAGGCCCTTCCTATGCCTGGGGAAGCTGAGTTGGGGCCCCCTGCCCTCCGGGAAAGATCCATACCGTGCATTGTCTCCAGAATGACTCTTGACCTTTCTCTTGCCCTCCCGGGTGACTTAATCAGTTCTGTCCCAGGTACAAACTTCAGGAGTCAGAGGCCAAACACAAAAGTGTCACAAGCGTGCATCCTTCCCGGGATTCATTGTAAAGATCATAACGCAAAGGGTACATTCCCCTCCAAAACAGCTAGGAAATCTCTGCCTCAGAATTAACTCTGGCTCAGTCTGATTTCTCTTATGGGCATAGAACTGTGAGCATGTCCTAAAGGCAGTGGAATGTGATATCCCACCGATGTTTTCTTCCCTTATAATTTTATTATGGCATTTCTAGCCCTTAAATGAACCATCACGAACTCTCTGCTAGAATTTAAACAGGAAGCTGCAGCAAAATGTCCGTAATCCAAAGGCAGAGACACTCAAGAGAAACTTACCTGAAGGTGTGGTTTAGTAACAAAGCATTGAGAATCATAGAGCACTTGAGAGTTTTCAAAGCCTTAGTAGTTTCTGGTTGGAACTGCTCTTATTTCCAGATGGGGAAATTGAGGTTCAGACAGAAAACTCTACTTTGAAGTTAAGCTCGTAACAAAGGTATGGCATGAAACCGGGATGCAGACCTCCAAAACTCTGTGCTCCGCTCCGCAAGGGCCAAGCTACTTAGCATGACCACTCAGTGATGTTGCTCTTCTGTGTTCCTTCCCATCTTCTCCAGGATGGCTACTTTTCTCACCGTCCGAAAGAGAAAGTGCGAACAGACAGCAACAACGAGAACTCAGTCCCCAAAGACTTTGAGAATGTGGACAACAGCAACTTTGCACCCAGAACTCAAAAGCAAAAGCACCAGCCTGAGTTGGCAAAGAAGGCCCCGAGCAGACAGAAGGAGCTTTTGAAAAGGAAGCTGGAGCAGGAGGAGAAGGGGAAGGGACATTCGTTCCCAGGCAAAGGCACCAATGAGGTGATGCCTCCTGGGGAGAAAGCCACGGTGAACAGTAGCCGTGGGAAGGATGCCCCAAGACAGCCCCACACCAGGAAAAGCGGGGGCAGCTCCCCCGAGCTCAAGCAAGACCAGCCCCCCAAGTGTGACATCTCGGGCAAAGAGGCCATCTCCGCACTGTCCCGCTCCAAGTCCAAACACTGCCGCCAGGAGATCGGGGAGACCTACTGTCGCCACAAGCTAGGGCTGCTGATGCCCAAGAAGGTGACACGATTCTGCCCCCTGGAAGGTGAGTTCCAGCGCCTGTTCCGATTCTTCCTCCTGCCCAGTCCCATCCTGCTCCCCATTTTCCAAACCCCCGATCAGCACACGAGATTTTTTTCCTTCTGGTACTGTCTGAATTCTGAAGTTGTGTATGAGAAAACCTTTGCAAAATCACATGACCTTTTGTTCCCGCTTGAACCAGTTGCCTCGATGGCAGCTAAAAAAATAACGCAAAATCCGGGCTGGTGAGAGGAATCTGAGGTGATTGTATCGGTTAGCGTTCGTTCTCTATCTCAGCGCAGTATGAGGATTAAAATTGACACAAATTTATTGATATTGAACATGATTTGAAAGGTTTCTAATTGGTTGCGTTGACTTCAGAGGCTCTAAGAAACCACCTTCCTGTTTTTCCTCCAGTGAAAATTCCTTCCTCCCTTCCATTCTTCCTTTCTCCCTCTCTCCTCCCCACCCTCTGTCTGTCCCCACGTCCTGTCCTGTGCTGGGCGCTCTTCTGTGGGCTGACGGCCAGTGACGAATGACATTCCTTGCTCTGCGGTGCAGAGAGAGGTCCGAGCTCTAACAGCGGCGTTCGTAAGCTCAGCGGAGGGGCCCTCCGAAGGTGGAGGGGACATTTGCACAGGTGAGGTGTTACTCGTGTATCTCTGTGTCTGACGTGCCGTTGGCTGGGTCGTGCACCTGCCTTGCTGGTGTGCCTTACGAGGCGGTTATGCGCCAGGCGTTGCACGAGGCACCGTGCCTTCTATCAGCTCAGCCCATCCGCCGCCCTGTGAGGTTGGCCTGTCTCGTGAGCTTCAGTTTTTTTTTGTTTGTTTGTTTTTTTGTTTTGTTTTTTTTTTTCCAGATTTTTAGGATTTGGGTCAGGTAGGGAGCAGCCGTGTAAGTGCTGTGGAAGGACACCCAGGAAAGCGCTCATTTGTTTCCTGTCATGAAGGGTGCAGACACCTTCAGCTTTTCACTCGCTGTCGGTCCATACTTTTTGAGTTTGCGGCAGTAAACATGTATCTGGACTATACCGTCTTTTAAAAGGAAAGACGTAAAAAGAAAGGGTTTGTTTCTCCCTCACATTTCAACCCGAGTCCAAGCTGTCCACGCGGTTCACATTTCTATTCTTGATGGGACTTGGCTGATGGAGTAGAGGGATAAATGAGAAGAGGAAGAAGTTTCCAGAACTTTTTGTTAACCAGTGCCTGGCTTGGCAGAGGAGTATCGGGGGCCTGAGTTGAATGCCCTTCTGTGAAAGTAATATTGGGCGCTCATTATATACCAGGGGTCACAATTCTCTTCCTGTAAAGGTCGGAGAACAAATAAATGAGGCTTTGTGAGCCGTACAGTGTCTATACCAGCCACCCACACCGCCGTTAGAGCAAGAAGGAGTCATGGACAACACATATACCGTGCACTCGGTTATCTTCCAATAGTACTCATTTGACTAAAGCAGGCAGTGGGTGGGGTTTGGCCGATGGGCTCTACCCACGCTGGATACCGAACCCATGTAACAGTCAATATAACACAGTTTTCACCTTATAGCGCATCGAATCCTCACACCAACCCTAGGAGGTAGGTCTGTTAGCAACCCATTGCATTGATGAGGACATGGAGGCTGAGAGGTTTAGTACTTGGTCAGAGGGCCATGGCTAGTGGACAGCAGAGCTGATCTATCCCAGGGCCTGCCTCCCTACCCATGGCCTTCCCCTCCTAAGGTGACAGAAGGTGTCCCTTGAGTTCCAATGATCAGACCTCAGGGAGGTCCTGCAGCCCGTACGCTGTATTTTTCTGTCCTCTGTATCCATGCAAGGAGAAGGGAGGAAGGTGATGAGAAATCAAGAGGGCTGGCATCACCTGTAGAGGTCAGGGGCCCCCACGCTCCTCCTGGTTGTGCTGAAACCACCCCCCCACCCCCACCCCGGCGTGGTCATGCAGTGTGAGTTTGCTCGGGCTTTCCCCATGGACTCGCCCACGTCCGCCAAGATGGCGCACCCTCCCGGGACCTCTGAGCTGGTTAATAAGATGGCATTTAAGAGCCATTGCACACCCAGCCTGGCACTGCCTTAATTTGCTGCACGACAGCCTCCCCTTTTGCAATAAATTTACTGTGAATAGACTAATTGCAAAATAACCCTAATTGGGTAGTTATCAATGAACAACTTCCCGTGGAACAAAACGGCTTACAATTAATAGCATTTAAGCCATAAACTATTCTTCTGCAGAAAGCTAAGATGTAATTACACCCCATACGGAGATTGTATTCCCTTTCTGGAAACCATGACACCCGGATTTCCCTCCACTTAGGATGGATTTGAGCTTCAGCCCTGTGGTCCTTTTATTTCCTGCTAAATGAGGAGATGGAGGTGGGAGGGGAGGGAGATGTAATATGTGTGTAAATACACGCACACAGATGCACGCGCTGGCTTTGTCACCATGTCGAACTCCACATCACCCAGACTGCAGCCACCAGGATGCCGGAAGTTGGATATAACGGTGGGCAGCCGTAACCATCCAGAGGGAAGGAACTCGAGTTTGAATGGTGACTTTCATAAAGGGCTCCTGCTCCCTGCACTCACACCCATCCTTCCCCTCACCTTAGTACCACTCAGGAAGAAGAAGAGTCTAGAACCCCAGGAACCGGGTTGCTCCCTATAGAGATGTCCCCTGCCTTTGTGACTTGCCTACTTCACGCCGCTCCTGGAGAAAACAGCGGGAAGGGTGACACGTTTTCGCAAGGGAAGGGGGGATCTGTATACCCACCCCCCATTGATGGCCACCAAGAGTGAGCTACATTGAGGGCTCTACCCCCATCCGCTCTCAACCCTGGCCTCAGGGTTATTTCTGATCCCACACAGGGCCCCTGAACTCACTGCAGCCACCAGACCATCCCTTTCTCGGGCTCCTCAGTCAAACCTCCTGTCGCTTCAGCTGGACTGCCTACTGTTTCATGGAGATGCAGCCATGTCAGATGGAATGCCAAGGGTGGCCTGGGCTGGAAAAAAGAGGTTTTCTCCAGGCACTGGGTTTTGAATCCTGGTTGTGACTTTACTAGGTGTGTGACTCTAACCTCCCATTGCCTTAACTTCCTCATCTGTGAAATGGACACAGATTCTCCTGCCTTTCCTCCTAGGATTGCTGGCCTTAGTGGGGACATGAGTATCAAATGCTTGGTGTGGAGGGGAGGTAGAATGAAGGAGATGTTGGGCTGTTGGCATCGGTGGTGTTACCAGCCAAGGGGGCATTAAGAAGAGGAGAGAATGGAAGGCCTCCTTGATGATGATTTTCTGTTACCTGGCCGCATCTCTCTTGCTCCGTCCCTCAGACGTGGCCCCTGAGTGGCTCAGGCATTGACTTCTGCTCTTTCTAGGCGCCCCCCTGCTGTTACCTGCACCCCCCCATTGCACCCCACCTTATCTGGCCGCCTCCTCGGGGAAGTCTTCTTGGACCATGTCTCCCCCAGAAGCCCTGGCCACAGGGATCGTGCTAACCCTGGCCAAGGGCAGAGGTAGCTTTCCTGATGGATGCCTTCCTTGATAAAGACCGTTTTGCCTGTAACCGGCATTCTCGTGCCAGGTGCTGGTAATACAGCTTTTAATGCCTCGTTACAACAGGAACAATTACATATCTGGAAGCTCTGTCGAGCCTTCCTCCATCTTGAGTGAAAATGTCCCAAGAAAGGCTCCCTTGGTGCGTCCCCCCCACCCCCCCATCCCTCCTGCAGTTCACCCTCTGCTGTGTCGGGTGGGGCCAGTGGACTCATGCTGCCAGTGGTCTGCGTGTCTGCAGCCTTCATTTTTAGGTGGAGAACGAGTGGCGAGCAAATGTGAGAAGTTCCAGAGAAAGCAGTCGGCTGGGAGGAGGGGCAGCTGCCACCTGACCAGGAACTCAGGCCTGAGCAGCTAGGTGACACACGGTGGTTCTCCCACGGGCGACAGGCAGGGGGTAGTTCCTTTGAGTCAGCCGACCAGCTACAGGGCTGCAAGCCTTTGCACGTGACTGGGGAAGCCGGCTCAAGTCTTAGGGCTGGAGATGGACTGAAGGGGGATTTCCGATAGAAGGGCAACTGTTCTGGGATGTGACAACAGTGTTTACCCATGAGCCGTTGCAGGAGGCCAGAAGCTCTGGATACTTGGGCTTCTGGACGGAGGTCTCTGGCTGCCCGCTCCAGAGAGAGTGGCAGATGACACTTCCAGCTGTGGGAGGGCTGTCTCCTGTCCATCTCCGCACACTGGGGGCAGTGCGGTGACTCCCCAGCGTGAGGAGCTGGCTTCCAGGAAGCATGGCTGGCGGCCCGGCATGGAGGGACTGTTCAGGCATGGATGTCAGCTAGGCCAGTCTCTGTGCCCCGAGATGCGTGCCTCAGTTTCCCCACCTGTCAGCCAGAGACCCTGACTCCTCCCAGGCTTTCTGCTGATGAGGGAATGAGGGAGCAGCTGTGGAAAGCTAAAAAGCACTGCACTAAGAGGGGAGTGGTGTGGCAAAGTCTAATGGATCCAGGCACAGCTTGGCTAAGTGGCCGGGGCTGACTCGCTTTCCAGAAAGCCAGGTTTGCAGAGGAGCCGGTCAGACCCTTCCTGCTGAGGAAGGCACGAAGGCCAGTAGAAAGGAGGGATTTCAGCGTAGTTTGTTGGGATTGGGCAAACCTCGTCCCAAAGGTGTTTCTTGGTTTTCTCAGGGTGCAGAAACGGGTAGCTATAGACCCACTCATTGGTCACCCACTAGGCAGTGTCCAAAGCCGCGGCTCCGCACGTGTTTTCCGTAAAGGGCCAGAGAATAAATAGGAGGTTTTGTAGGGCGTGTGGTCTCTGTCACAACTCGACACTGTCCGGAAGCGTCAATATAGAAATACATGAGCAGCATGACGATGTTCCCTATGACATGGTTTAGGGTCACCAAAATGTGGATTTCATATAATTCTCACGTGTCCTAAAATGGTACTCTTTTGACGTTCTTCCAGTCGTTTAAAATGTAAAAACTCTTCTTAGCTTGAAGGCCACACCAAAACAGGCAGCCACGGGC